CAAACCCATCATTCTCGTGAATGAAGTGGATCTGACTAAAATCCTTCAAAAAATTTGGTCCAATCTGTATCATAGAAAATCCATGTTGACAATAGGTACACGCAAAGAATAATGACAAATTTCCGAAGGACGCGTCTGCTTTACACAACAGTAGCCTTATACGTAGTCATATGTTTGGTGCCGATGATCAAAGCGCTTCGAATATATAATTTTACTGAGCCGTCGGAATTCGGACCACTTTACCCAATTAATGTGTTCGCGTATCCAGACAGAACCATCGGTATTCGATTAACAAATAGATTTTCATGTCCGCAACAGCCAACAACGTTTGCGCTTCGTTTTCTAGATCCAAATGGTGCTTTGAACGCTCAAAATTTGAACTTTACATTCCCTATCATCAATTTTTGTCCAATAAATAGGATAAGAATTTTTACCCTTCCAGGTAGACTTCACTGACGATAACACGCTTGTTTTCATAGGCATAAAAATTGATTGATCATTTTTGCGTAGATAATTATCTCCTCATACGTTACTGGAAAGTTATAGACAATTCATCTATACAATATGCTGGGCTTATCGTCTCGATGGATGGAGAAATAATCGATCCGTAAGTTGATCGACACGCGGTTGAACGCGTTAATGCTAGGTTAAATAACATCAACTGAATTTCTATCATGACTTCAGAGAACTTCAATTAAGTAACACGCTAAGTATTCCGAACACGACGCATCCCAATTCTGTCGCGACCCTAAACTTTGCCCAGAAAGGCATCCTTTACGTATCAATATACGATCAATTGTCCATCAATTGGACAAGATATGTTTGGGATTCTAATAGGTAACGATATATAATGCATACATACTTTCTTTTTAATGGTTATCAAATGGTTTTGTTTATCTACAGGGGAAGCTTGACTCAATTGTCCCATGATGTGATAAAATCGCCGCGTAATTTTCAAATCGATGATGCCAAATGTTTTACCACGATTGATGGTGGATTTGGTGTGGTCTATTCGGCCAGTTTGACTCCTCAATCTGTCACAGCAAACGCAACTTTTCCGAATCCCGTCACAGCTCTCGTTTTCATGACATTCATGCGTCTTGGTGAGAATAACTTCTCTTCGACTTCTATAATATATGAAACGACCTATCCCCAAGTTAGGATTTCCATCCGTTCCTGTCAACAAAATCACGTGGATCATCCGGGCTATGTCTGTTTCATTCGCGTTAGAGCTGCAGCAAATCTGACCGCTGGAAATTCGGCATGGGATTTCTGGAGAATGATCTCATTCTTTTCTACTGGAACGCTTATATCTACTCTAGATTTGGCCAACAACCTGATTTTTGATTCGTCAGGGATCATATTGATAAATTATACCCGAGCAGACTCCTTATATTACGGTGGGTTTTTGATGACGGGAACAAACCAAGCCAATTACTCGCAAGGTTCAATTTATGATAAAGATGGAAATTTCATACAGGATTGGGGAATAGACTCGTTGAACGGGACTATTTTTAGTATCTTGAACAATAATACAATATTTGCAGCTGTACCCGCTCAAAATAATTTGGGTGATTCCTGGGAACTCTATTCTAATGACATATCGCCTCTGGCCAATAGTGGGTTTTTCTCCTTGTGTAAAGTATTGTCCGTCACAAGTTCTTGACATTTACCGAAAAATGATTCATCTATAGGCACATACATGAACCCCACCATTGTTTCAGCTTATCCTCCTGTTAATGAATCGATACCTCTGGCTTTAAAATCTATCAATGTAACCTATAATATTGAAGTTACTCCGTCATTGGCAAATATAAGTATATATCAACGTACGAATACTGGCTTGGGTGTAGTAGATTTTCTCCGACAAACATTACCGGCCTCTTCGCCAAATGTTCGTTTCAACGATAGTGTGGTGTCGATAGATGTTTTATCGTGTACCTTTAACCAACAGGGACAAATTTATTTTGTGGTAATTGACGGAAATTTTGCGAAGGCGAAAGAATTCAATGAGCCCTTGCTTGGTGTAGGGAATGGAACCTGGATGTTTCGAACGAAAACCGGAAACAATAACTCCTTCACAGGTGAGTTGTACGCATGCTTTGACTCAATTTTCTTTTTTGTATTAATTTTGTCGTCAATCGGTAGACGATGTGGATGTTATTGCTCGTCTGTCATCCAGTGCATCGGCATTTTTCGTTGCTTTGAGCGTTTCCGAAAGGCATAATTTTTTAAACGAAATGTTGATTTCATTCTCCGAAACGATTCCTGCGAACATATCAAGGTTGTCCATAATGGACCGATTTCAATATGACGGCGAAAGCAAGAGAGCTCAAATATTATTGAAAATGACGATTCGATCTACCAGAGATCTGTCTCAAATGAATAGTATGCAGATATATGAGGACATGAATATGTTGGTAACTAACAAGAGCATAACTAGTTTAATGTTTTATAATAGTACGGCATCTTTGGATTCTGATTATGGTGTCTTGAGACTACGTAGGTTTTTGGTTATTTTCCATGTTTTAATTATGAGTCGATGGCCCTAATCCCTTATTAAATCGTATTTACTTTGTTTAAATATAGAAAATCTATGGGAAAAATATAGATATCATTTTGCTGTCGTAATTTGTGTCATTTTTGTGTCTCTTGTGATCGTGTTCTTGGCACATAACAGATACCCACAGGTAGTAGATATTCGCGCGACAAATCTTATCGATGCGCTAATTCTCTACTCTAATATTAATTCAGGGAAAAAGCATGTCGCTGTTTAAATTTATTTTGGTTATTGCAGATTTTGTTCTGGACGGCATCTTCCTTTTTGACTATGTTGAAGATGTTCCAAGATTGTATTTTCCGTAGTAGGTTATTTCGTGTCTCATCTTCGATCACCTTACGTCTAATTATTAAAAATATCCACATCATTTTTTTTTTTAGTCTTGGCATTATATTAGCAGCGATGTCCTTCAACTTTTTTATCACGATGTTCATTTTCTTTAGAGAATTTTATGGAAACACGCCATTTCATCAATGGATGAAAAAGCGTAAAACTATTCCGTTTGTGTTTTTCTTGTTAGGATATGTAGATCTGGAGTCTTTAAATTTGATTTGCTCCAAAGTGGCGAGGTTTAAAATATTTCAAGCACCATTAACATCCACCGCCACAAGGTGGATATATTTAGGAAGTCTTGTGAGCGTATTTATGGAAGATATACCACAGTTAGTGATATTGGTAAGATTGCACGCACTCAAAGTTCGACGTATAACCGTCGATGTCGAATATCACTAACTTGTTCTTTTTTTTGCATTTTCTACAAAGTCTATATATTTACACGACGTCTTGATATACAGATTTATTCCCTTATTGACAATATCCACATGTTCACTTATTATTTTCACAAATATCATTGTTCACACTTACCATTACATAACCTACA